AGCGCCAGTCTCCACGGCCTTAGCGGCAAGTCTCTGTTGCATGTCAACGCCAACGCTCAAGCTCTAACTCTCACAACCATGGCGCCATGTTGCTATCTTAGCTCAATGGCATATGCAATTCCCAGCGCTGTAGCGCCAAGAGACACGACCATAACGCCAACTCTCTGCCATTTATTTAGAGCTTCAACTCCAGCGCTGGCACTCACAGCCTTAGCGCCAACTCCAACGCTCAAGCGCTAGCTTTCACAACTGAAGCGCCAACCCTCCGGAGCCATTTTTCTAAGTTAAATGAGAAGCTTTGGATAGTCTTGGGTCAGTTTCAAAAACGAAACCCCTCCCTCCACCTCTTCATTTCTCTCTTCCTCCACTCTTGAAAACCCTCAATCTCCCCACTCTTCATCTTCCTCCTCATATTCTCTCTATAAAGTTTCCAATCTTAGACATCAAGGTTCCCTTTTTCGTTAGTCATTCCACACTGAAACATCAAAGCATTCACCTTTGGCTAGACTTATAAGGTAAAGTACTCACTTTTCTCTTCTCTTTTCTTCGTTGCATGGAAGTGGTTGTAAGTGCTTCATTTCTTTGAACCCTTTTTCATAATCTAACATCATTTCTGAGCTTTTTGATTGATTTGGAAATACACAAATGTGAAAAGCATGATTTTGGGTGTTTGAGTTCTCAACGTGAACATATTTTGGTTGAAACATCTTATTCCATACCATTTTCTTTCTTGTGTGATTTCACTCATGTTGCTAGATTACTCTAGGTTTATCCTTGACTCTTTTCTTAAGCTTCTTGTTCACATGCATTATTGATATGATTTAGGCTTTCTTTCTTAAGCTACTAGCCAAATAGCCTACCTTACATATTTTTCCCTTGTTTGCCCCTTCGAGCCTTTATAACTCTTCCTTGAAATTTTGCTCATTATAAGCCATAAAGTGAAAAACCATGATATCCCATAACCTTAGGGATTAAAGGAGTTTTGCAATTGTTTTGGGAATGGGTTCCTAATAAGTGTGGGGGTGCTTTCAGGGAATGCTTCTATATTATTGGTATTGAGTTGTTTGGTGATTAGTTTGAGAAAAAAAATCTGCAATAAAAAAAGAAGAAAAATATGCAATAAATAAAAAAAAATTGCAGTAAAAAAAACTGCAATTTGGTTGAGAATGGTTGAAAATAAGTGGCAAATAATAAGAATTAGGAGTTTCTTCAGGGGTAATCTTTATGCTTATTGGACTTATTCCCCATTGCTCCTATTTTCTCTTTGGTTATTTAAGCTTAAATGACTTTCTCATCTAACCTTTACCTTGGCCACATTACAAGCTAAATAAAAGTCCTATTGATCTTATTGAATTTAGAAAATCTTGTTAAATAATGGTACATAAATTTGATTCACAGTAACTTACGCAATATTTAATATATATAATAATTTACAGAAATTATATAGATAAATAGTTACAAAATTTAGGATGTTACAAACACAAATCTAAACTAATACATGAATATATGACACTATAAGAAATCAAATAAGGCAAAAATATATTTAAAAAAAAAAAAGATGTACTAAAATATGACTATCAAATACTCCCACACTTAGTCCATTGCACTCTAGGACAAACTCAAAAATGTACATACAACTAAAAAGGAAAAATAAAAAGAAGTATTTACAAAAATTTTAAAATTTTCTAATGAATTTCCAATGTATAGAAAAGAGAAAAAGAACAAACATTCCTAGAATCAAGGCAACAAACAATTTATGAGACATAAATGACATTAAAATTAAGCAAGATTACAAGTCAAATTAAAGAACGATTCAAAAAATGATACAACCTCACAAAGTAGTGTTTAGCTCTCAACTCTCAAGTGTTATAGGCTAGTATTTACACTCAACACATCATGAAAACTAGTACACCCAAGCTTTGAGAAGCCTCTAAATTCCACAACTTGAAACACATGTCATTAAAGATCAATAGGACTTTTATTTAGCTTGTAATGTGGCCAAGGTAAAGGTTAGATGAGAAAGTCATTTAAGCTTAAATAACCAAAGAGAAAATGTTGCTAGATTACTCTAGGTTTATCCTTGACTCTTTTCTTAAGCTTCTTGTTCACATGCATTATTGATATGATTTAGGCTTTCTTTCTTAAGCTACTAGCCAAATAGCCTACCTTACATATTTTTCCCTTGTTTGCCCCTTCGAGCCTTTATAACTCTTCCTTGAAATTTTGCTCATTATAAGCCATAAAGTGAAAAACCATGATATCCCATAACCTTAGGGATTAAAGGAGTTTTGCAATTGTTTTGGGAATGGGTTCCTAATAAGTGTGGGGGTGCTTTCAGGGAATGCTTCTATATTATTGGTATTGAGTTGTTTGGTGATTAGTTTGAGAAAAAAAATCTGCAATAAAAAAAGAAGAAAAATATGCAATAAATAAAAAAAAATTGCAGTAAAAAAAACTGCAATTTGGTTGAGAATGGTTGAAAATAAGTGGCAAATAATAAGAATTAGGAGTTTCTTCAGGGGTAATCTTTATGCTTATTGGACTTATTCCCCATTGCTCCTATTTTCTCTTTGGTTATTTAAGCTTAAATGACTTTCTCATCTAACCTTTACCTTGGCCACATTACAAGCTAAATAAAAGTCCTATTGATCTTTAATGACATGTGTTTCAAGTTGTGGAATTTAGAGGCTTCTCAAAGCTTGGGTGTACTAGTTTTCATGATGTGTTGAGTGTAAATACTAGCCTATAACACTTGAGAGTTGAGAGCTAAACACTACTTTGTGAGGTTGTATCATTTTTTGAATCGTTCTTTAATTTGACTTGTAATCTTGCTTAATTTTAATGTCATTTATGTCTCATAAATTGTTTGTTGCCTTGATTCTAGGAATGTTTGTTCTTTTTCTCTTTTCTATACATTGGAAATTCATTAGAAAATTTTAAAATTTTTGTAAATACTTCTTTTTATTTTTCCTTTTTAGTTGTATGTACATTTTTGAGTTTGTCCTAGAGTGCAATGGACTAAGTGTGGGAGTATTTGATAGTCATATTTTAGTACATCTTTTTTTTTTTTAAATATATTTTTGCCTTATTTGATTTCTTATAGTGTCATATATTCATGTATTAGTTTAGATTTGTGTTTGTAACATCCTAAATTTTGTAACTATTTATCTATATAATTTCTGTAAATTATTATATATATTAAATATTGCGTAAGTTACTGTGAATCAAATTTATGTACCATTATTTAACAAGATTTTCTAAATTCAATAACATGTATTTTATTATCTAATTTGACTGTTTCTCGGACAACATTGAGAGCATGCGCTAAAATCCGAGAAACTCAATTTAAGAAAATTTAAGTAATTTGTAACTTAAATAATAATTTATTGAGTGTAGATTAAGAATAAATACAGTTAAGAGAGAAAGCCTCTAAATTAAAATTTATAAAAATTCTCTAAGGATTTAACTTGAGAAAATTATTCCGCTAAAACCTTAAGCTAAAAAATTATGGAAAAATGTTCAAAAGGTTATAAATAATTTTATCATCAATATAGTATGCTTAACATAATTAATAAAAATGTATAATTAGGTGAAATTAAAATACAAGTCTCAACCAATCAAATTATGACACAAAAACAAATTCTAATTTATTTAATTAATATTAGTTAGCATAATTAAGAGATGATCAAGAGACAAAATTTTATATTTTTAATGGTGAAGATTCTAGTGGTGATATTAGTTTCTCAAAATTATAATTAATTTATAAAATACTTTAATAATTCTACAATGTTCTAGAAGTCCTACAAAACTCTCTAAAGTAGATACCTAATTACCAAATGATTAAATGAGTTGGAAGCTTAACTATTAAGATATTCAAATAATTCTAGAAAGTTTTATAAAATTTACAAAATAGAAATCTAGAATAGATTAGAAGCTTAACTATTAAGATATTTAAATAATTCTAAAAAATTCTAGGATGACCGACAAAATTCTACAAAAAAGAATAGGACACCTAATCACCATGTGATTAAAATGAATTAAAAATTTAATCATTAAGATAGCTAAATAACTCTACAAATCTAGAAAGTGGACATATCATCACCATATTATTAAATAAATTGGAAACTTAATCATTAAGATACTTAAATAATTCAAAGAAATTCTATAAAGTCCTATAAATATCTACAAAATGGACACCTAATCACTATGTTATTAAAATATCTTAGAAAATATCAAGAAATATCTACAAATCTAGAAGATTGGAGAATGGAGGTGGAGACTAGTATAAATAGGAGAAACCACAACAAAAAGCTCACCAACAACCTTTCACAACAAGACATAAACCAAGCCAAAGAAACACCCAAAAATACTCCATTTATGCCATAACCAAGGAGGAAAACAAGGAGTAAACAACTAAAATTTCAAGAAAAGTAGAAGAAAGAGAGAAGATAAGAGGAAGAAAAAGAAGTAGAAAAACAAGAAATCAAGAAAATTAGGAGAAAACTGGCAAGCTTGGAAAAATAGGTATGAGTTAGATGTTTAATTTTATTCATGTCTATATAGTTGTAGAATAAGTATTGATCCTTACTTATAAGTTTTGATGTGTGGAACCTTAGGTTAGTTGATATGGTTTTTTATTGTACTTATTAATAAATTTGATGTTTTAAGGTTGAATCTTGAAGTGATTGATTGTTTATGATTGAATGTTATTATTAAAATTATTTGAATTGTATTTGAAAAGTTTGATTGAGAATAATTTTTGAAGTGATAGATTAATATTGATGCATATTGCATATTGCATAATATGGTTTTTGAGTTAAAAGATTTTTGGGGGAAAAGAAAAGAATTTAAAAAATATATATTTGAGAAATGAATTTTATATCAAGGATATTTGATAGAAAAAGAATGAGTTTTGAAATTTTGGAATGATGTTTTTTATGTGAATTCTTTTATTTATGTTTACTATCCGAGACATTGGTGGCAAGAGATTGATTGTGATAATGGATACTGTCAAGGATAATTGGCAGTACGAGATGGATAAAGGAAATGATAGAGTGAGAGAGAGCTTGATATGGTTGTAAAAGTTTGACAAAAGATAGTAAATGGGATTTGAGTAGAATGAGTAAGATAGGACCTCTGGTCTAGGGGATATACCTTTGATCTAGGAAGTGTTTGGGTATGGACAACCCCATAGATGGCCAGTGTAACGACCCGACTTAGGCCATCACATCAACAACCAATAGGACAACTAAAATAAAATAATATAAAATAAAGAAAAGAGAGCAAATGCTAGCTATCCTAGAGTGAAAATAGTCTAAATCGTACAAATTGTTTTCATCATATAAAAGGTAACTTTATAAGAGAGTTGTTAGTCAAATAGTCTCGTATAACTTAAGAGGGGCGGGGGAGGCTTTTACCAAATATTCCAAGAAATATGAAACTGAGGAAGGGAAGAAAGATATTGAAACTCAGCTTCAGAAATTGAAAAAGTATGCAACTGTCATTCGTGTTCTGGCTCATACTCAGGTAAAGAAAGAGTTTGTATTAGATTTTATTAAGTTGGTTTCTTTCTGTAACTTTTCAAGAAGTCTTACTCTTAAATAAGTTTATGGTGGTTTCATCATAGTAAAGCTAGCCTCTATTTGATCTTATGTGGTTTCATCATAGTAAAGCTAGCCTCTATTTGATCTTATGGTGTTTCATCATAGTAAAGCTAGCCTCTATTTGATCTTATGGTGTTTCATCATAGTAAAGCTAGCCTCTATTATATATAATTTGTCTTAGTTTATATGTTGTGTTTTTTGTGTGAAGTTTTTAACATGTTAAAAGTTTCAGGATGTTATTTTTACCAAATTTTTTACTAATTAATTAATATTGAAATTTAATGGATTTTCTTTGTTTACTGAAGATAAGGAAGTTGAAGGGTCTGAAACAGAAGAAAGCACATTTGATGGAGATCCAAGTTAATGGTGGGACAGTTGAGCAGAAGGTGGACTATGCATTCAGCTTCTTCGAAAAGCAAATTCCGGTGGATGCTGTTTTCCAGAAGGATGAGATGATAGATGTCATTGGAGTGACTAAGGGTAAAGGTTATGAAGGTGTTGTAACTCGTTGGGGTGTTACTCGTCTTCCTCGCAAGACTCACAGAGGTCTAAGGAAGGTTGCTTGTATTGGTGCCTGGCACCCTGCTCGTGTTTCTTTCACAGTTGCCAGGGCTGGTCAGAATGGATATCATCATCGTACCGAGTTGAATAAAAAGATCTATAAGGTTGCCAAGGCAGGTGAAGAGTCACATACAGCCATAACTGAATTTGACAGGTACTGTAATAGTGTTTCTTTGTTCTTTTTTCGTTTCAATTTTGGATATCATATCATTTTTTCTGTCTCTAAAATGGTTACCGGGCACAATAATAAAATGAAACACTTTTAGTCTGAGTGAGATTATTCAGTATCTGATGATGCTGTTTACCAATGACAGGACCGAGAAGGATATTACTCCTATGGGTGGATTCCCTCATTACGGCGTGGTTAAGGATGACTATATTATGGTGAAGGGGTGCTGTGTTGGACCCAAGAAGCGAGTTCTCACACTCCGTCAGTCCCTTCTCAAGCAGACATCTCGAGTGGCTCTTGAAGAGATCAAGCTCAAGTTCATCGACACCTCATCCAAGTTTGGACATGGCCGCTTCCAGACAACTCAGGAGAAACAAAAGTTCTTTGGTCGGTTGAAGGCGTAATTTTTTATTTTTATTTTTTCACTTCATTCAAGAGAACTATTTTGGTCATAATTTTTGCAGCAAAACAATACATCTAGAGGTCTTTTTATTTTAGAGTCGGAGGATGGTTGCACTTGCAATACATTTCTCACTGAGAAAGTATTGTACTTCTGTTGTTTTCAAGATTGAAATATAGTATTTTTCCTGTTTTATTGTATTTGATCAGCTAAAATTCTTGGTGGTTTAGGCAATTTGCCGTCATTTTCTTTTCTATATTTGTATTTTGTCGTAAGGGCGCAGTGTTGGGTTCGTTGACTTGCGGTGGCGGAACTTCACTCTAATTTCTCTTGCATGGGCTTTTTACAAAACATTCATAATAATTGGGGGGATTGAAAGTGGTGTTTTGGATGATTATAAACCGAAACTAAAAAGAATGGTTCGGCGATTTTCGAGATTGGGCCTCATCACATGTAATTTCCTCTAAGATTGTGTTACTACAAAGATAAGCCTTGATAACATCTGTTTAGTTGCATGTCCTTAAAAACGAGTATTATTTTTTTAGTGTTCTTTACTGTGCTTACAGTGTTAGGAAGTGGTGTAGCATGTTTCAACTCGTCCACTCTTGAAATTATACCTGATTTAAATTTTAGTACGGATTTGGTATGTTTCAAGTAGTCCAATACTATTTTTTTTTTGTGAATGTAAGAATTTTTAAAATAATTGTATATTAATAAATTTTTTGATAGATGATATTTTATATAATAATATAATATACATATAACGAAACTATTTATTTTAAAACATATTTAATAAAATGTACCTTAAATTAAATTTTGTATCTTTTTATTTTATAATTTATCTCAATGTGTATATATATATATACATTATTAGACTTAGTTTAATATTGATAAATTTAGTTAAAATACTAGATTGATTACAAAGTTATTAGTTTGAATAGTATTAGACTTAGTTTGTTTAAGTAATATTTCGAGTTTAACTCTCGTATATAGGGTTGGAAATGAGAGACTCTATTAAAAGTGAGAATGAGAACTAGGGTTTGTAATGATATAAGGAAAATAAAAAAGATGAATGGAGATATACATAAAGAGCTTTTAACTAGTTCAATGATGTAATGGTTTTCAACTATCATTTATAAAGTTCATATTGACAAATAAAAAATCCAACTTCATAAATTTAGGAGCGACAAAGTGAGTTAAACAAGTTGGTCAATCTTTAAACCGACCAAAAATGCAAGAGTGGGTTAAGTAATTTAACCCATTAATTTGTTATAATCCACTTGCCTAACTTGTCAACTCGACAAATTGAAGGAAAGGTGGGATAGGTTAGCTCATTAAGCTAACTCACTAAGTTGATTTGTTCAATTCATCTATAATTAATGTAAATATGAATAATTTTATTTTATATAATTAAGAGGACATAACATTTAGATGTTCATAAAATAAAATGAGCTATATATTCAAAATAAATGAACTACTATTTTTTTAAAAATATTTTTCATTTATTTTGAAGTTTTTGATGGATTTTGATAAGTCAACTTGTCAATCCATCCCTAAATGAAATGTATTATATTTATAACCCATCATTTGTTAGTGAGTTAACCTATACCACCTTATTTTAGGTGGATTGATGACAAGTTGGGGTGGATTTGTCTACCTTTTCACCCCTACATAAGTAGTACAAAAAGTAGTTTGGATAATAACATTTTTTTATTAAAATAGACAAATTGGCTTGAGTCATCAACAAGGATCAATACATTGGTAGATAGTTGGGTTCCTTGAACATAATATAGATAATTTGATTTCTTGACTGTGCATATGAAGAAGATGGGAAATATAGAATTTACTTCAATGTTCTATATATCTCAAAAGGAAGCAGTTTAATCAAAGCATATCTTTAGTACAAACTTTGTTTTATCAAGTCAATGCAATTATGGAGCATTTAAGCTAACAATATTGGTTAACATGCACGAGAAGTCATATATGGATACATTCAATGTCCATGTTGTTAACTATATATGTGAATATAGTTAAACTTTGTTTCACATGTAGTTAATTACTTTGAACTTTTCAATAATCTCATAGTTAATCATTTGGGAGATAAAGTTAACTACCATTAACATTTGAGAAACACATGATACCATTAAACTATATTGATAATTGATACTATCACGTTCATTTACTCTTAATCAATTGTAAGACAAAGTAAATTATATTTATATATTAGTTAACTTCGTGTTGTGGTGTATAACTTTTTGACATTATTAACCACTTGTGATCTAAGGTTAATGTAAGATGAAGTAAATAATTTCTTTTCAATGAAATTCAACAATAAAACAAGATAAAAATCTCTCCCCAAGTCGTGCTTTTGTGTGTGATGGTCAACATAAATAGGACGTTATTAACCACTTGTGAGGTAAAGTTAACGACCACTATACACATTTAAGTATGTTGAACAAAAAACAAAGCATGTGTCTAACACTCTAGTTTTGATGATAACAAAGTTACAATCTTTGATGATAACAAAGTCACAATCATGTTTGACTAACAACCTATCTTATTACAAGAAACATGTGTCCAAAGCATAGAAGAAATAAAGACAAAAATGTTTTACTAATAAAATTATCTTCTATCAACTTACTAAATTTTAACAAGTGTAGCATTTAGCTATAATGTCGGTCCGCATCTGCATCCAAATAAAGACAATGCATTAAACCAATGTCTGCATCTTTAAGTGTGCACAAGTATAACGCTTGTTAATTTGAGTGTCTTCATGCTTAAAATCAACCTTACAAAATTCAAAAGCATTTGTTGATAAGTGCTTTGATAATCTTAGCAAGTTATAAAATGGAGCAAGTTGTTGGAGGATGCTCTTTGGACATATAGGACGGCTTACCGGACATCTATTGGGATGTCTCCTTATAGGATTGTGTTTGGTAAAGCATGTCATCTACTTGTTGAGGTTGAGCATAGAGCATATTGGGCGGTGAAGAATTGTAACTTGGAATTTGATCAAGTGGGCATGCAAAGGAAGCTTTAATTACAACAAGTTGAGGAGCTTTGCTTGGAGGCCTATGAGAACTCCAAGATCTACATGGAAAAAGTCAAGCACTTTCATGATAGTCATATTTTGAGGAAGGAGGTCAAAGTACGCCAACAAGTGCTTTTGTTCAATTCTCGCCTTAAGCTCATAGCCGGTAAACTTAGATCTAGATGGGAAGGTCCCTTTGTTATTACTGATGTGTTTTCCCATGGTGTAGTTGAAATTAAGAATGAAGTTAACAACAAAACCTTTAAAGTGAATGGGCATCAACACAAGGAATTCCATCAAAGTCCAAAGTTGGAGGAGAAAGATGTGGAGGACATTTCATTAGAAGAACTAATTCTTGGACCTTAAGAGAGTTCTACCCCTTTTATATTCTTCTCAATTGTCTTTATTGTTTGCATTATTTGCTTCATTGAGGATAATGTGATTTTAAGTGTGGGAGGGGCAGTGTTTGCATGAAGTTAAAAAAAACTGTTATTTTCTGTATTTTGATTTTATGTTTTTACTATTTTGTTGTTTTGTTGAAATTGTTGTTTCTGTTTTTTTTGTTTTACTATTTTTTGTTGCATTTTTTTTTCTATTTACTATTTTTATTGTATTTTTTTTTATTTTAGATTTTGCATTCTGTTTCTATTTCTATTTTCTGTATTTTGATTTTCTGTTTTATTGATTTTGTTTGCTGTTTCTATTTTCTGCATTCTGTTGTAATTGTTGTTTGATTTTGTTGTTTTTATTTTGTTGGATAAATAAAAAGTTTGTAGTGACATAAATTTTCTTACTTTCTTTTTAATTTCTACATGTATGAGTTGTGAAAGTTGTTTCATCATTTTTAGTTGATAGGTTGCAGTACTTGATATGAGTCATTTTTACATTTTTAGTATAGTAAGTTGCTTGAAAAATTAGAATTTGATTCTTTGATGATAGAATATTAACCTTGTGAGATTTTTTAGCCTATTTTGGTTGAAACATCTTATTCCATACCATTTTCTTTCTTGTGTGATTTCACTCATGTTGCTAGATTACTCTAGGTTTATCCTTGACTCTTTTCTTAAGCTTCTTGTTCACATGCATTATTGATATGATTTAGGCTTTCTTTCTTAAGCTACTAGCCAAATAGCCTACCTTACATATTTTTCCCTTGTTTGCCCCTTCGAGCCTTTATAACTCTTCCTTGAAATTTTGCTCATTATAAGCCATAAAGTGAAAAACCATGATATCCCATAACCTTAGGGATTAAAGGAGTTTTGCAATTGTTTTGGGAATGGGTTCCTAATAAGTGTGGGGGTGCTTTCAGGGAATGCTTCTATATTATTGGTATTGAGTTGTTTGGTGATTAGTTTGAGAAAAAAAATCTGCAATAAAAAAAGAAGAAAAATATGCAATAAATAAAAAAAAATTGCAGTAAAAAAAACTGCAATTTGGTTGAGAATGGTTGAAAATAAGTGGCAAATAATAAGAATTAGGAGTTTCTTCAGGGGTAATCTTTATGCTTATTGGACTTATTCCCCATTGCTCCTATTTTCTCTTTGGTTATTTAAGCTTAAATGACTTTCTCATCTAACCTTTACCTTGGCCACATTACAAGCTAAATAAAAGTCCTATTGATCTTTAATGACATGTGTTTCAAGTTGTGGAATTTAGAGGCTTCTCAAAGCTTGGGTGTACTAGTTTTCATGATGTGTTGAGTGTAAATACTAGCCTATAACACTTGAGAGTTGAGAGCTAAACACTACTTTGTGAGGTTGTATCATTTTTTGAATCGTTCTTTAATTTGACTTGTAATCTTGCTTAATTTTAATGTCATTTATGTCTCATAAATTGTTTGTTGCCTTGATTCTAGGAATGTTTGTTCTTTTTCTCTTTTCTATACATTGGAAATTCATTAGAAAATTTTAAAATTTTTGTAAATACTTCTTTTTATTTTTCCTTTTTAGTTGTATGTACATTTTTGAGTTTGTCCTAGAGTGCAATGGACTAAGTGTGGGAGTATTTGATAGTCATATTTTAGTACATCTTTTTTTTTTTTAAATATATTTTTGCCTTATTTGATTTCTTATAGTGTCATATATTCATGTATTAGTTTAGATTTGTGTTTGTAACATCCTAAATTTTGTAACTATTTATCTATATAATTTCTGTAAATTATTATATATATTAAATATTGCGTAAGTTACTGTGAATCAAATTTATGTACCATTATTTAACAAGAT